CACCGCCGCCCCACAGATCCTCGAAACCCCCAGGATGGAATATTCTCTGCGGATACCGCATCCTTGGAAGGTCCTACGCAGGTCCGAGGTTCTGCTATTCGCCATTTCCCACGCCCTCCAGAATCCTCACCACAATAACCACCTCTCAACAATACTCTTCCAGGCGCAGATTTATCTCCATCCCGGGTCCTGGAGGAGCCGCTTCCGCAATGCTCGCACCCTTCTGGCTGTTAAGTTATCCCCTGCCACTTCACTTGGCCAACCCCTTCCCCAGGCCAGCAGTATGCTCCAGAATCTCCAAATCTCCAACCTCCAAGCCCTCATCCGTATCCTGCCCCCGTCCTTATCCCGATCCCCATCACTGATCCCCTACCCCGTCCCTCAGCCCGAACGACCCGCATCACCGATCCCCTACTCCAGTCCCTTAACCCGACCCGCACACCTTCCTCACCTGCAGCCCAGGAAAACGTGGTTGGTCCAGGCGGCGGAGAGCGCGAGGAGTTGGTCGAGCGCGGCACCGGGATAGCTATGCAGGTGCCGACAGATGAAGCTGCGCCGCAGAGCCCACTGCCAGTCACTTTCGTGGCTATAGCGCCACTGCTCCAGCACTGGCTCCGGCGGGGGCGGCGGGAGGGGCGGCGGCGGCGGCGGAGGGAGGGGGGGCAGCGGCGGAGGCGACAGGAAGTCGCCCCCCAACAGCAGACGTCCGCCAGCCATCTTCTCCGCCCCCAAGCAGGGCCCCCAGGGATGAAGCCGACTACAGACCAGGAGCGAGAGAGAACAGGACTCGGTGGGAGGGGCTGGGTGAGGAGGGGCGCGCCGTGGCGTGAAGATCAATGCTCAGGGTACTGGGGAGTGTGTGTTGGGGGGGGGGGACCGTTAAAGAGGAAAAGGCGCTCACGTCCCGACTCTGGGGCGCACGCCCGCTGCACTCCTCCAACTCGTGGAGCAGAAGGGCGCCCGCCGTAGACACACGCGCGCTGGGGACGCCGCGCCAGACGCGGCGCTCCGCACTTCTAGCCACCCGCAGACCCACGCGCTGCGCGGGGAGGAGGGAAAAAAAAGACACCAGCACGCTCTGCTCCCCCTCCTCTGGGTTCCAGCCTACCTACCCGCGTGCAGCCCCGAGGTTGTGAGGCCAGTGCGCATGCGCTGCCGTTGGTCCCCAACTTCGAAATCCCGTCGCCGAATATCGCGTGACGTACTTTTTTTCTCTCCCTGGACGACTACAGGATTTTGACGCACTACCGCGACAAGGGGAGGGCGGGGACTCCGGGAAGAGAATTTTGGAAGGTTCTCAAAGGTTCTGGAACATGGTTCCGTTAAATCCCTGGAAGGCGACCTCAGATGATTGCTGGCAGCAATGATACGCCTGACGTTTTTCCCTGGGTTTCTGAGCGGTGAGACAGTGGGGCCGTGTTCTTTGGGAGGGACTTAGGGGGTTTGGAATGGATTTTACGCTTTATTTTTAACGTTAGCTCTCCGAAGCGCTTTTTCAGAGGATAGCTTGAAAAGCTATGCGCGTCGTGCATCATTAGCTTTGTATTTTTTTGTGAAAACATAGGAAAAATAAAACAACTTGCAAAGAAAATGATCCACAGTGCCACCTCTCACGTCAATCACTTTTGTGGTGCATACTCCATTCCAATTGCTGACAGAGACATCATGCTTACACAGCTCTGATCATAATTGCAAATAATTCCGTATTTTCTGTATCAATTTAAAACGTGCAAAATATTACAAAATACAAAAGAGGCCCGGAAAAAAGAGGTTTAAAAGCTGCACGGCAGCAAATGGCGAAATCACCCTGTAGTCTAATGTATTACTCCACCCGTGAGTCTGCTCCAGTCAGTTTCCTCAATCCCTGTCTGCCAATCTGTGTTATTAAAGTAGCTAATCAACAAGTGTCTGTCGGCAGGGATTTATTTACACGGCACCTACTGTGTGTTCAAGATAGCAGAAAAACAAAGGAAAAAGAAATCGTTTTTTCTGTTATCCTAGGACTGATTGCAATCTTGGCTGGGTTGAAATAGTCTTGCAAAAAATCCAGTGTCTCACTAGCAGCAGGACCACTGCCATGGGGTAGCTTCGACCCATTGACCTGTTTAAGTTTTAAACGACATATTTTTCATTACAGGACACATGCATATGGATGTATTGGACTGACAAGAGCAGAATATAACATCACTTTTCACACCGTTTCATAATGATTTATTTCCATGCCTGACTTGCACATTTCACAGTGAGTGTTTTGTCTTCGACTCTATGGTAGGCATTCATGTCAATTGAAGTAATAGCAGTCTTTGGACTATCAAATCAAAGAACGTGACACTAAGAAGGAAGCTTAGAGATCATTAATTCAAATCATCGCCGAATAAGTGAGAAAATTAAGGCTGGAGAGGTAAAGTGACTTGCAAAGGCTGTAGGGACTGTAGCAAAGCTGAGGTCAGAATCTAGGTCGCCTGATTCCTCATCCAGTGTTCTCTCAGCCATTTTGCATTGCCCTGGTTTTTGTTTTTTAAATTTTCTTCACAGCATGTATCACCTTTTGAACTTTTTTTACAGTTTGACTGCCCTCGTGCTGTGTCAGCTCATGAGAAAAATAAACTCATCTGTCTTGCTTTTAGCACCTACAACTGACTACTGTAGGCTATCCACAGGTGTTTGCTGAGTTAAATGAATGGCTGAATGAGTGAAGGCTTTTCCAGTTGTCCCAATCTTGTGAAATTAATTTTCTTGGAGTGTATGTTTTAAGCTAATTTGTTGTTTTACAGTTGGATTTATTTCAGCCTAAGCTGCCAACCTTCATCAAAAACAGCATTGCCATCAATACACATCTTTCCTAGAAAAAAAAAATTGAGAAAATGAAAATTATGTCTTCTCAGCTTAGATGAAAATTTGTCCATCACATAGGAACAAATAATTGCAAAATGACTTTTGAACTTGGATTACAAATGAAAGGCAATTAAACTGATGTTAGAGGCGATTTGCTCTGGAACAGCCATAACTGGCTTCCATTTGTAATTCCCTCTGTGGGATAAAGTTTCATCTCTAGAAAGCAAAACAAAATTTGCACGATTATCCATGCCCTTATTTCCCTGGTAATCCTTCTGATCGAAAAATTCTGCAGCCCATTCCCTTCTCACAAGCCACAGATGATTTCCCAGTGAGCAGGAATTGAAACTCCTAAGCCAGAAGTAAAATATCTGAATAATGGCTTAAGACAGGTATAGGAGGGAGTGATGATAAAAGCAGCCATTGCAATTCTGAAACAATCCAGAAAACTGTATTCATCCATTTTCCACCCCTCCATCATCTTTCTCTGTTCTGATACAGGTTCCTGTTACTGTCTTTACTACACACACACATGCACACACACATACTGACAGCTCTGAGCTTCCTTCCCTGCCCTTTTCTGTGGAGGAGGCAGTGAGTGATGAAAGGGGGAAACTTGGAGCCTGGCTAAGCACCACCCCCATGAACTGTCCCAGAAATTAGATCACCAAATGTTCGTGTCCAGAATACTATGCACTACAATATCCTCTTGAGGAATGTTTGCTAATGGATTAAAAACAATAGCTAGGAGTTTCCACTGGCTAAATCTTGGTAATTTGAGCACCAAAATTAAGGACAGTAATAAACCATTCAAAAAATAGAAAGCCTTAAGTTCACAATGACATTAAGCAGATAGACAAATAATGAGGGAGAAGGGAAGGCCTTTGCTTACAATAGAATACCATGTACCTATTAGAAAATACGAAGGGAGTACTGGAGTTGGAAAATCATTTTGTAGACTGGTTCAGGTAACAATTATCAATAGATGCTAAATCTAGGGGGAAATTTTTGATGAGGAATAGGATATTTGCATGGACTTATGATTTCTCCTCACAGATTGTTTATTAGTAGCAAAGAAGGAAAAGAAAAACACCCAGTAATTATATAATGGAGAAATTGGGCAACACCTTGACCCAAAATGAGAACAATATATTTTTTAAATGGGACATCAAAAATATCAATGTCATAAAAGACAAAGAAAGGTCATTCCAGATTAGAGACAGAGAGGACACAATGGGTGATTCTAGACCAAATCCTATATGGTAAGGGAAAAAGTGCTATAAAGCATATTATTCAATAGATTAAAGTAGTGTAACAATGTTTTACCAAAGTTGATAACTGGTTATGTAAGAGAATATCCTTATTATTAGGAAATACCCACTGGAATATTTAGGGGTAAAGGGCCATGATATGTGTAAATTACCTTTAAATGGTTTAGAAAAAAATTGTATATCTATCTAGATATATATTACAGAGAAAGGGAAAGAACACATGATGAAGCAAATTGGGGAAAATATTACGAATTGGTAAATCTGGGTCAAGAGTATGTGGGTATACTTTTGACTATCCTTCTTACTTAATTTCAAAATTAAATGCTAGAAAAGTGTGATAGTTCCCTACGTTGGTGAAGAATCTCAATCTAGCTACTTCTTAATCACTTTTCGTTGTGCGTTCAGAACTGTACTGGGCCCTCTGGAGGGCTATAAATGATGTTTCTACCCTTAGAAAGCTTAACATCTCAAAGGATTCAAATCAGTGGAGGATATTTCAGACAAAGCCAACAAATCATCTGTGTAACTCAGGGAGAGACTTGTGCAGAGACTGAGTGTACTGGGAGGGAGACTGGGTATTGAGAAAGTATTGGAAAATATAGTTGAGTAGATAAGATGAGGCCAGTCTCCAAGTTCCTCAAAAGCAGCGTCTAACTAAATTTCATGCAAAGTATCCCCCATAGCTTAGGGCACTAAGGGATTGTCGCCAATCCTATACATAAAAAGTACACTTATGATTTTTTATAGATACTGAGTCCAGAACAGGGACTTTCTAAATCTCAAGCCAAACAAGCTAAGAGGTAGTGTAGTGCAGGACTTAGATGGACACCAATGGAAGGTAGGTGTAGGTGGCAAAACCACTGTGAGGTACTAATGTTCTAATGTACCATTCTTTCAAGGAGTACTCAAATTTTAAAAGAATAGCCTTGCAGGAAAGTTGTCCTTTTGTAGCCAAACCCCTTGTGATTTTAATGCCCCTAGTTTTTTTGTCACCTAAAATTAAATAATCTAATTCTTAACTAAATGTTTCCATTGCTTTGGTGGTCACGTAGCTTATAGTCACAGATTAAGAAAGTATGTCAGTCATGTTCTGAAGGAATGCCTGTAAAGCAAGTCCCAGGAGAAATGTTTGAAACTTTGCTCGAGATAATAGGAGAATATAGGTAGTTAAGAACAGTACAAAACAATGATAGCTTAAACGATGGCGATAGTCACAAGATGTCTAGTTTCTGCCTTTTGCTTTAAAGATAACCTCGCTGATGCACGATTATGAGATGCTTTACAGAATGTTGGCTCTTCAACCCAGCACCCCTTATTCTCACAATATAATTTTGTGTTGCTGATGTGCTGCGTCTTTGTCAAGCAGGAGCAGATAACTTCAGGACCTTGAGGAGAATCTGAATGTGTTCCGCAGGAGTAAAGAATGTGTCCAAGGTAGTTGTGAGCAGCTGCTGAGGCCCAGGAGTCTGATGTGAAAAAGTGTTGACTACGGCTAAGGGAATACACCTCTCTCTCAGTTCCCAGGAACTCTTCCTCCCCCTTCTCCCTAGCTGCATGAAAACTCCCTACTTTTGCTTTTTGGAGAGACAGATTTGAGAGATCTTGCTCTCCTATTCTCTCACTTTGGTGAAATCAAATAAACCTTTCTCTGTCTACAAGCACCAGTGTCTCAATGTTTGGGCTTTACGTGTGCATCAGGCACACAAACCTGGGTTTTGAGAGGTGATTCTGCAACACTTTCAGCAGAGAGATGAATCTCCCGAAGTGGAGGCACTTCAGACAGTAGAGGACACTGCTTAACCTCGGTGCTTACAATAGAAGCCCTGGTTGCTTGCCTTTTTTGAGGATATTAGAGGCCAGGTTCTCTCCCTAGAAATAGTTGGCATTCTCATCTGCTCAGCAGTGCCCCAGCAGGCTCTCACTGACACAGCAGGCCCCTGCCTTCCATCTATGCTCTAGCAAAATTGTATGCAAATTTTAGTTAAACCCATCCCCCCCAACTTTCATTAAAATTTCAGCCATGTCTTCATTTCTGATTTTTTGACCAGCCAATTGCTTCCAACACTTTTAGTCTGATAATACGTTAACAAGCACTAAAATGCATTAGAAGTGGAGTAAGCAAACTGTGGCTCACAGGCTAAATCTGGTTCCACAACCTGTAATTGTATGACTCTCATGCTAAGAATTGTTTTTACATTTTTAGTGGTTGAAAAGAAAAGAATAATTCAGGACGTGTGAAAATGAAATTTGCATGTGAATGTTAACTTTCAGTGTCCGTAAATGAAGTTTTATTGGTGCACAGCTATGCTCATCCTTTTATATTATCTATGGCTGCTTTTGTGCTATAGTAACAGTTGAAGAGTTGCAGAAATCTTATGGCCTACAAAGCTTAAAATATCTACCACCTGGCCTTTTGCAGAAAAAGTGCTGACTCCTGGCCTAGAGCAATGATTCTCAACATGGGGCTATTTTGCCCTCCAGGGGACATTTAACATTGTCCGGAGACATTTTTGGTTGTCACAGCTGTGGGGGTGGTGTGGTGCACTACTGACATCTAGTGGGCAGGGATGCTGCTAAATATGCTACAGTGCACAGGTCCCTACAACAGAGAATTCTGTCCTTGAATGTCAGCCGTGTTGAGATTGAAAAATGGTACATTAGAGGAACCTAAGATACTTTTAGTAAACGAGAAACTCCATCCTTAATAAGGGATACCGTTTATGGAACACCGGGGGTCTTTAGTTTACATTAGCTCATGCAGTCTTCACAATCATCCTGCAGGGGAGTTACTGATATTCTCCTTTTACAGGGAAGTTTTTAACATAACTTGCTTAGAGCACAGAGCCTGTTTTTCCACGCCTCAGTACCTGCCGCTATCCAGTGACATCACCAGGTGATTGTTGTCTCACAAGGCTGCCTCCTAGTGTGCGAGCTGCGCAGGCACAGGCCAGTCTCCTTTACTTCAAGTCTGGGTACCGAGAGGATATGGACCACTCTCCCGTCCTCAGCATCTGGCCATCCGAGAAATGAAGCCAGGGAAAGGAGACCCTACCGTCACTGCAAGCAGACTTATGAAAACTGACCACTCTCCCTCTTACCCACTTTAATGCTGGGAGTTGGGGATAGGAGATTCCCTCCATGGTAGACCCAGGACATAAAATACTACTTGCTATCTTTAGAACGCTTTTTAAGTCTTAAAGGATAGTGATACCCAGGAATTTTCGGGATGCTCGCATTACAGTATTAAATGAGAGACAAATCCTGTTCTGTAGGATATGGCACTCCACTTATAATGAGCTCAACGGGTCAGTTAAATCCACGGCAATGAAGGAAAAGTAGAGGACTTCAGGTCCACCCCCACCCTGCTCCGTGGGAATTTCAAGCTCAGATGGAGGAAGGAGGGGGCATAGCAGCTCACTTAAGGAGACTGAATATAGGCTGATGATGCCTCCCTGAGCCCCTCAAGTCACCCACTTGTAAGGCAGCCACTCACTCCTCCTAAGGCAAACCATGGTGGACTGCATCACCTAATGGTTTAAGATCAAATCACACAGCCGTTGAACATTTCTTTGAATTTTATTGAAAATTGACATGACATTAGAAAGGTATCAAGCTAAACAGTGCTGGTTTTGGGATGTTTCTCCTGCAAATGAAAGCCCCAGAGGGGCAGTGACTGGTCATACCTTTGAGAAAAAGAACAGAGAAGAAAGGAAAAACAAACACAGATTCTGGAAAACATGCAAAAAGGCTCTCTCGTGAGACACTGGACACTGGGATGGCGATGGTAGGGATATATAGGAATGAGCACACTCACATGGTATTTTGATGCAAGTTAAACCAACAAATTCAAGGCAGATTTATCAACATCAGATCTCTCCCTCCAGATCCCAGGTTGAGCAGAAACCTCTCAAAACCCCAACTGGCTTTGGAAGGTTGAATGGAGTAATTTTGCTCTCACTAAGCTTATACCCCCTCTCATCTTTCCCTTCTCCACTGAGTATTAGTGAATCCATTTCCTCCATTGCTGGGGGTCTGCAGAATTCTGAAGAAGATACAAATGTTGCTTCACTTTCTCTTCCATATTCAGAATGTTTAATAGTGGCCGTAGACAGTCAACCCATTGAACCAGAGAATTCGTGTTTAAAAAATAAAAATAAAAATTTCAACGAAAACTTGTGAATAGGACTTCCACACCCATGGCTGAGGTCTCCTGCCTAAGTCACTTACACTTGGGTGAGTTGTCCTGCAGTTGTCTCTTTGAGGTTACATTTGGTCCATTCTCCAGTTCCGATGGTTCTTTTTCTGCCTTGTTAGGTTAGGACAAGATACTTCCATTTAAAATACCATGTAAGTCAGGAGAGAGCTTCTTGCCTGGACACAGGGACACATGAACACTTGCTGAGTGTGTGGTGTGTGTGCGTGCGTGTGTGTGTGTGTGTGTGCACACGCGCACAGTTTGGGGGGAGAGGGGATTGGTTGGTTTCTGGTTTGAGATATGGAACCCTAACTCTTCTATAATGGCAGTCTTCTCCTTTAGACTTAGTGCAGCTGCTGAAGACAAGATTAAAAAAAGCTGGAGAGGGAGAGATAAAGAGAAAGAAAACATGAAATTAGCTAAAGAAAAAGGACATTCAAAGTAAGACAGGGTTAGGGGACGGGGAAGCATGAGGTAGCACAGATTATACTTGCAGAAGATAGGTTAGAAATGGGGTCATTGATGGACCATCACCACTGGGAAATCTGCTAAGTTTTAAGAACACCACACACCGGATTAAAGCTTCTTGTTTTAATTAAAAACAAGCACATATTAATTAACAGCCACATGTGAATGCCAAATAATTAAAACAGAAACATACACAAAAGTGATCTGAACTGCAGCTAGCAAGTGCAAACTTCTTGGCTTACGAGAAATTAGGTGTGTGTGTGCGTGCGCGCAGGCGCGTGCGTATACACACGGGATTTTTCAGGAAAGCCATTCCATTCCATTCTGGAAAAATAAAAGCACAAACCACTTCTAATGACTGGTTTGGTTTCACCAGAAGCAAACAGAGTAGTTAGGGTATTTTTAAATAATAATAATAATAGTTGTACTTATTAAAAAGCCTTTTCACTGAAGGAAAAAAAACTTTTCTGTCTATAGTGAGAAAACTGCCCAATAAAATAACTATTTTATTTCTTTTCAGAGAGTTATCAAATTTCTAAAGGCCTTATGCTCATGCACGGGTTAGATTTCTGCTTACCAAAGTTTCTTGATTATAAGGATCATTTAGGGCACCTGTTAAACATACACATGCCTGGGCCCCATTTTAGACTTCCAGGAAAGCTGATCAGCTAACTGATGCTGGTGACCCCTACCATCAGCAGAAGCACTCATTTTGGGAGCTGCTCTGGAGTTTTCTGCTTTGCCCATCCCTACTCACCCATCTCAAAGGCCCTCTAATACTAACTATTCGGTTCCTCTGAGCATCAAAAGACCTTGTCTCCAGGAACACATGTGAATAGATTGAATCCCTTTGTGAAATGGACCAGGAGTCAGAAGACACTGAATTTAGCCTGGCTTCTGCCATGAAATAGCGCTGGGACCTCTGGCAAGTCCCTCCACTTCTCTGGGCCTCGATTTCCTCTTACGAAAAAAATGGGTCACATATGTCTTGTGGACCAAAATGTGTCCCTTAATACAAAATTCCTGCCTAGTCTCTGAAAGTCTCTCAAAGGCTGAGTGGCTCTAAAACTTTTGAAGTTTTCAGAGCTCCTCAAGCCTCAAGTCTTAATCTGTAAACAAATGCAAATGAAGGACTCTATTTGTAACGCAAATAATTACCCAGGAAGATGGAGACCAATTGGTTGTTTTAAGTTTAGGATTGGTGTGAAGCAACTGTGACACTGGATGTGGAAACATCAAAGCTGCAAATAAGATGCCTTTCCCAAGGAGATTTGACTGCCCTAACTTAGCATCTCACTCAGCTACTGGCTGAGTATCCAAATTGTTATTGTTGTTATTGTTTTTAAAAACGGCCAAGCATAGGATCTCCTAAAATGCTGCACTGTGAGACTTCGATTTTTCAAGAAACTAGCTTATGCTTTGGCAGCAGCCCCTTCATACCTGCCTCTGGCCGTTAACCAATCAGCGACTTACCAAAAAATACATAACATAGCTGCACTCTTGCTTTGCCAACAAGAAAAGATGAAGTGCATGCCTACGTTTGCTTTTCATTTTTTCTACTTTTCACTTTCTATTATTATCTATTATTGAAGAGAAAAACCCTCTCCCCATTCTCAACACTGCAAAAGGGCCTGGATTTGGCATAGCCTTGTTAGATCGTTTTGAAAGAAAGGAACCAAAAATAAAATAAAATAAAACAAAAAATAAAAAAAGAAGGTGAAGGTCATGGTCAGTGCCAGTGGGACTGGGAGGCAGAACTCAAAAGAAGAGGTGGGGCTTGAAGTGGAAGTACTTGTCAGGGGCAGGGGACCCAGCTGCCTGGCACCCAGAAGCTGTCAGTTAAAATAGGAACCTTGGCTTAAAAGGTTAAATGGAGTCCAGTCCAGCTGTAGCGGGAAATACTATTCAGTACACAGCCATGGATTACTGCAAAGGAAGGGCAGAGAAAGGGCGTGTTAGCCACAGATCATTGCCAGCACACCTCCAGCTCTCACTCTCACTGGCCAAACACGGAAGGCCATTGCGCCTGACAATGGAGGACTCCCTACTTCAAAGGGTTTCCCAAAGCCATTATCAAAATTAGGACTGGAATATTCATTCATTCATTCACTCACTTATTTTAGGCAAGGCAACCCTTGGTTGACCTCATAGATTGCAAGGACCTTGTCAGCTTACAATCCCTTATTTTTTTATTTTTTTATTTTTTACGCCTACAGCACCTGGTCTTCCTGGGTGGTCTCCTATCCAAGTCCTAACCAGGCCCGACCATGCTTGCTTCCGAGATCAGACAGGATTGGGCTTGTTCAGGGTGGCATGGCCGTAGACAGGACTGGAATATTTAAAAAAATATCAAATTTTTAGACTGGAGATAAACTTAAGGATCTTCCTCTCCAGCTGATAGTCTCACTTCTTTTTATTGGGAGACACGTGTGAAATACAGATTAAAACTCATCAACACTCATCAAAGCAAAACTGAAAACACTGATTCTTTGACCGCTCAGTTTGGCAGTTTATGACATGGGATCATTATACCCACTACTGGCCTTGCCTTTTGGAGATTTGCGTGGAGCCCAGAGGAGATGTTGAGACACCTCAGAAGAATTCCATAAATCTATCATTCAAGACACTAGGCTGATAATAATATTCAGATTTATTCTCAATTCTGCATCTGTGGGGTACTCAGAATTATAGAGGAGAAATTTACACTATTTTCTTCAGCAGTCGTGTTTTCTGGGAAGGGCTTGGTGTAAATAAACTCACTCCATATTCTTAACACAGGTTGAGCACAGTTACTTTGAGTGAATCAAAACTGGAAAGGGCCGGGCTGAGAGGCGAGAAGGAAAAGGCACCAAAGGATCTCCTTCTGGAGTCCTCTGAAAAGAGGCTGTGGCTCCTATTGATGGGTGCTCAGAGAAGCCCAGTGACTGGGTACTATGGGTGAAAGCAGTGCTGACTGGAGCTTACCCAGCCACCTTACATGCAAATACCTCAGGGAAGGGAGCAGCAATTACAGTTTGAACAGGGAAGCTGGTGGTAGAGAGTAGCAGATGGGACTTACAGTCTGGCAAAGATGGGGGAGGGGAGTGATTGGCTGGGGGCTCTGGGAGGGGAACTGGGATGCACGATGCATCACATGACTG